TCCCATTTCCAAATAAGATAAGAGACTGACAGGGTCCGTCCCGCCCCTTCCTGTTTGCTGCAGCGAGGTCAGACGAGCTCGATCTGTTTTTTTTCACAGATCATCTGTGTCATAGAGTCACGACATAATAACTTTTAACAAATTGTAAAAACTGTTTTTCTTAAAGCTTCAGGTGAAAAAAAAATTAACAGACAAATGTACTCTAAAAGCAAAAACACCTGAGGAAAAGGAAGTAGCTACCTCGCTTTTAAACGTACTTAAAATATTTAAGTAAAAGTAATTTCTCAATGTATTCTTTTATGCAGGAGTGTCCAAAGTGCGGTCCAGGGGCCGTTAGTGGCCCTCCGCTGATTGCGTGTGGCCCCTGACATCTGTTAAAGATTAAAACAAAATCCGTTCCCCAGTACAGATGTCTGATGGACTTTCTATATTTAGTTTGGAAGAACTGATCACAAAGTAATATCTTACAGTAGAAAATGTTGGCAAAAACACAAATTATTTGTCTTTAAATAAAGATGTGATGTTTACACAAATACTAATTTTGCTGCGCACAAATCTGCTTTTAATTAATTCATAAAACTTGGCTAAATTCGGCAAGCATTTTCAAAGAAACAGTAACCTGAATCTGGATTTTATTGCTCAGAAATTACCACATTTTCTTCCAATTTCCTAGAAAATTTCCTTTAACAAGAAAAACTTTTTCAGGTTTATTTTTTTACTCTACACATCCCTTTCCAACAGCAGATCCATTTGTTTAGTTGAAGTGGATAATCATGCCGTATTATTATGTTGTATTTTGCCATAATTTGCATATGAGCCAACTTCAGGCCTGGCAGACATTGAACCGAAACTTTGATGTTTATCCCAGTTAATTAATAATTCAACAAGGATTGATAATAGAAAGCCGCTTTTTCCGCCAGTTTTTGGATTCAAACCTGTTGGGGATGAAACAGGAACAGAGTAAATCTGAATTTATTCTCCAACAGGTTCGCCTTCACTCTGTGCCGTCTGGGTCCATCGAGTCTCTGCGTCTGTCCTATAAGACGGGGTTAAATCGCCTCGTTAGCGGC